TGAACTGTATCGCACTTCACTCATTCTCATCCACCAGAAAACTACCTCCCATCATCTAACTTCTCTCAAGTTTCATACACTCCTCTTTTTCTACTACTTGCCTTCGCAGCAACTGAAAATTCCTCGTGCCGCGTACCTACCATTCATCCTCAGACAACACCTAAAGCCTCTCTCTAGTCCTTTACAGCTACTGGCATTTTCTTGTTACGACAACAGTGAAGCTGTACCTGCCCTCTACCTGCACCTTCGCCTCATAACCATACTACACAAATCTTGTTGTATCGACTAAGAAGGTAAGTCACCGAAAGAAGCACATCCCATTGCTTTTACCCCCAGACGACTAGTGCACCGCCGAATCCTTCATTTACCTACATACTTCGAGACCTGCCCGTTCTTTCTCCTCTTCCTCCTTCGCAGGCCCTAGAGGCAGACTGACAAGTATCACCAAGGTACCACTGGTCTGAAAAGACATATAACTTTTCCGACCGCCCCTGACTACCTATTCATACGCACTCTATCCTACAGCAGTCCTTAGTAGCACCAGTTTACACCATGGCGAGTTCCTCAGAGACCATGGGATCATCTCCGTCCTGGGAAGACAGCCCTCCATCATCGGTCGATTCCAAGCAAAGGGGTAAAGTCAGAGACTGGACCCAGTTCGAATTAGCCACAGTTTGCGCCCTCATATGCCAACACGAGCACCGCGTGCCTCACAAAGATAGGCTTAAGACGCGCTTTCGTCGCAGGCGCACGGGTGGCAACGGCACGGACTATGCTAGAGACTGGGTACTCCGGTTCGCCACGATGCTGAATGAGGCCGTTCACGGTGTGCACGGATACAAGAATAACATTCCAGTTGATGATGTACGTGAGCTCATGGACTTCATTGAGACTAAGAACAAGGCTGTTGTGGCGTATATCGAGAGACAGTCGGCTCCGTTCCGAGTTACACGCTCGAAGAAGTACGCGTTCCAGCGTCTGTGCAACAACTTCAATGATGCCTTCTACAAGTGGACCATTACTCGCCGAAAGAGACTTCGGGATCCAAATAGGAGGTCCAGCTGGGTTAACCATGATCTTCCAGGTGAGACTAATTGTAAGTTCATACATCCACTTTTCATATATTTGCTAATTACACTCCACAATGACTCCTATTCTGATATTTGACACTGAGTTACGATACTAATTCTTGCTGTTTGTCAGACAATAATCTTTCAGCTGCTTCTCGTGCCCAGATCAACGCAGAATCTTTTGCAAACGCTGAGAGAGGAAATATTTCGGACTCTGTATACGCTCAACGAAGCGGCGAGGCAGTGAACACCACTACCTCAGCCCCGGAGGCCCGTTCGTCTCGATATCCCGTCCTTCCAGTTAAACCGGTAGCTCCCCCTTATCGTCAAAATTACTACAGATCTACTACTCTCCCTCCTCCCCCTCCACCTCCTCCTACTACCCATTACGAACAGATGATCCATCAGCCATACACCTCATATGGTATGGAGAGACACGAGATGACAGAAACTCAGCGTGTTTACCACGGCCGCCCTGGTTCGACACCTTCGTCTACATGGTATCATCCCCCGGCATCTCCAGCCTTCTTCGGCCATGATAACCTACGACAAAGCATTCATCCAATGGGTCCCACACCTAATACACCCATGGCTACGGCTTCACCGGCATACCAGTACAATTCTGAGCTCTACCAAAGCGGCCAACAACCTGTCACTCCAGGATCTCTTGCGCCGCCGATGAATAACGACCCATACACGCCGTTCTATGAGCATTATAACTATCCTGAGCCACCACAGAATGGTAGCAAATACAGCTACAATGGTGTCACCGAGACGCCCATTTCACCCTGCTCCCCGATGCATATGTCTGGTGTGGCATCTACTGAGATGATGGGAGCGCAGGCGGGAGCACCAGAGCCCGTTGAAGATGCGTATGGAACTCACTACACTAATGATGACTTCTATCCACAGGTCCAGTACTACTAGGATCCAAGAGCTCGCCTAGCCTTCTCATACTTGCAATATCTTTTGCAATTGTGCATGCGAATTTCATCGAGGTTGTTGTTTACTTCTGTAGCCCATGGCCGATGAAGCCTATGAGGAAGACAACGAGACGAAGCAGCTAACCGGCTAAAAAGGATGGATAGAATTAACGAGATGGATAACTGCTACTATCAGACCTCTACCTGTCTCATCTGATGCCTAGAAGAATATGAAAAAAAATTGAAAAAAAAAACCAGAGAAAAAAAAGCCTTATACTAACAGTATAGCTGCAGCTCACGACGCAGATCTCTACTATACTGACGTTGCCCTTCAATAGAAAGATGTGCAAAGGGGGTTTCACCGCACCTTATCCTTCTTTCACCTCATTTCTCTTGCCTCCCACCCCTAGCCGCATCGCATAGAAGAACGACTTCAAGACGTAACACGCGATACACGATGACGAGGTATGTAGCCTCCTCAAAGCAAGCAATGCATTTTAGCTAACAGTTCTTAAGGTATAAATGATCTCATATAAAGAGCTATATCGATAGCCCCTAGGATTTCGAACCACCAAAATTTCTTTCCAAATTGCTCGCCAGATATATGATGTGGACTCGCGCTGAATAGATTCTCCGAAAATTGCCTTTTTAAACGTTTGCCTAGCACTGCTAGATGTCAAACTCTACAGAGAAAAGAAAGAAAGAGTTTCGAATAATACCATGTTACCCAATCCTAAATCTACTGGCCAAAGAGGTGCTTTTGAACCAAAGGGTTTTCAACAATAGATTTGAGGGGAGCATGAGATGAGATATATGGAAACGATAGCAAGCATCCATGATCACAGTTGCAGCGACGATAAAAAGGAGACAATTGCAAGGGAGAAACGAAGAAGAACACGCGATGCATTCCTGTAGAATAGGACATATTTCCACAGCGCCTTGCCTTACTTAGCTAGAAACAAAGTTATGCTTTACTTCTCATATCCATGGTATTTCTCAAATTTACTCTAGACTGTGACATGAGATACGCGAGACTGGTCATAGTGTATTTCCAAGGAATTTTATCCAACCATTTTCCTCGAGGCGAAGGTGCGGCTCGGCCCTTGATAAATATTATCGCGTAACTAAACCCGGGAAAGGTTTCGGGCCGCACTACACCGGTCCCGGCCCGGTCTAAATGAGCTGGCAGAGTCGACCCTGTCTGTATAGATAGAAATCCCCTCGTTATGTGATAATCACCAATAGCTATTCAAGGCAGAGCTAGAGCCAGAGCTGTAACAGTCTTTCATGTACTGGCCTTTCGATGCTAGCTATTCATATCTTTACGCTGCTTGAGGCGTGCCCTGTATCATCCTCGGATGAACATGTCAGATGTATAGCCTTGTAGCCTAGTTAATGTATCATGCCTAGTGACTATATCATATGCCTTAATTGCCTTATAAGGTAGGTGTGAATAGCTAGAGGGCGAGGGTGTCGCCGTATCCGTAGGATCTAATTAGGATCTAGACAGGGAATTAGGGGCGACAGCCTCATATCTCGACTCCAACTCCAAATGTCTCCTGAAGAAAACAATAACAGATAGAGTGAGGCCTCAGAGGAAGCATGCCCCAGAAACGTGGGGAAGCGGGTTACAGCAAGCTTGCATATATCTGATATGACACATCAAATTGACTCCTAGGATGTGACACCAGGCCGAGTTGTTTGCGGCCTCGCATGTAATGACTACCACTAAGAGCAAGCCAAGTTCTTTTTTGGTATCTTTTTCTTTCGCCCTATCATATGACAGTACGTACTACGCCTCATACATTACTACATTAGGCAGTGCCATGCCTACGAGACACGCGCGCCGTCACGCCCCAGATAGTGCCCAGGGCTAGACCCCCATGCGCTGTGAGATCCTCGGTAATGTAATCCGCATTGCCTCGCGCCGTTCTCGAACGCGCCGCCCATGCAGTGTCGTGCGGGAGGGAGCGCGAAGTGGGAAACACATGTGTCCCATGCAGGAGTCCGGGAGCGTTGTCCCGTGAGGAGGGGAAAAAAAACCAAGGCCACGCGCCGACATCTAATCTCCCTCTCCCCAACCCCCCCCTTTTCCTTCCTCCCCCTCCGCCTGAGCATATATGATGAAGGGTTCATGTGAGCCATTGTGCCTTGCGATCCCTCGCACTGCGCCTACGCCTCGAGGATATCACAGCGCCGGTGGTGCAGTGCGTAGACACGACTGGTTGTCCTCGATTGTGCGTGCTGGGGATGTCTCACTAGCCAAAGGGTAAAATGACTCGCCCCTCGCTCCCCTCCCATTGGTACTACGGTATAATTGAGCATTCTCTCGTACAGTCATTGTGTCCAGTCGTAGGGAGAGCACCACCTGCCTTAGCCTATCAGGACTGTTGTGAAACCGGACGACGTGGCCAGAGCATGAATCCAAGGCTTAGACAGGAATACTACGGCCGCATACGACGTTCTTTATTGGAACCGCTTGTTCGAGATGAATGGATTGGAGGGTCTCCTAATACTCAGACCCTTCATGATCTCTGTCTGGCATGTACGTAATAGTGTCTCTGGTGTACTTCCTCTATTCACTCGTGCCATGTTTGTAAGTGCACCGGTACGTAGTGCATAGACACACATACATATAGATATAGAACATGGGTATTCCTAGCCTATCTCATGAGCACTTTTGTATCCCACCCTCTCTACCTACCTATATACCTATCAATGTATAGAGATAGTAGGGCTGCATAAGTAGAGATCCATGAGACCTACATACAGTGGTCTTAGATTGGTCTTAGATTGGTCACATCGTGGGCCTCAGTAAGTTCTAGATCCTGTGATGGGATCATGATCACAGATGCCGTTACATTTCCGCTTATTTCTTCCGCCTTTTTCTTTTCTTCCCGGTACAGAGGATGGAGAGTAAGTAGAAAAAATTATCAAAATCAAAATAACATAAAGAAGGGAAAAAATTGGTTGCTACTCCTAGTATTCTAAGAGGCATCAGGAATTGAGCCCAATGCGGGGGTCGAACCTATTATTTAGCATCAGTATTTGGTAACCATGGATGAATTTTTCTCTAGTCACTCACCCGCAACCTTGAGATTAAGAGTCTCACGCTCTACCGATTGAGCTAACCGGGCACTTAGAGGCAGTTGAGGTTCCCGATAAACAATCGTGCGCCTTATGGGACCCGTAAGTAGGCGAGGCCACGAATTGTGTTGTCCTTTTTTTTTTTTTTTTTTTTCTCAACACCCCCCTGCAACCCCCTCCAATCATCCACATGCCAAAAAGCTAAAACAAAAAATTACCTGGTGATTTATTGGTGGATTGGCGGACTAGAGAATGCAACTAAGAACCAACCCAAGATTCTATCTACCGAGGAACCTTTCGAAGACCCCTGATCCTGACTAGCTCGAGGGTTGGCACGTAAAACTTGAATCACCTGCTGTCGATCATTAACTTGTATGTCAACAGGGCGAACGGCTGGATCAACATTAAACAAACTACGCAAGCAGATATAGGTGGGTGGTAGAATTCGTATTAGACTAAGCCGCATACCAGGGAGGGCTGTGATTTGAATTCCGAGAAACAAGGCTTTTGCGTAGTAATGCATATGTGCATCTGAGACAGTCAGATTTCCCCACGCTAGTTAGAGATACTCATCACAGCCCGAATTACACTTGTGCAAATTTATTGTAAATCGAGATAGGAAGCAATTTTGTTGATTGTAAAAGAATAGAGAGGTAGTTAGATAGATAACAGTCTAAAGTGCCGTGAAGGGTAGCTAATTGACATTACTGCGCTCGCTAAAACACCTGTGTTTTACCGTCTACATAACTATCTGACCGTGTGGAGAAAACTGCAACAAATTTTGATGACATCACTTTGTGTTACGGAAATAGTGCAAGAAACGCTGCTGTATCAGGGGGAGAACTCACCCCCTTTTCGGTTTCCCGAATATGTGCCCTCTGTAGGGAAAAGCGAATGGAAGAAAAGGAGGTAGAACGAGAGTCATGTTGAAATGGGCCCGTAGACGGTCTGTACAATCACTCAGCGGTAGGAGTTGGTAGGGCTGCATGATTAGGTAACTGAGTGTTGCACCGTCGTTCTAAGAAAAGGCATTATCCCGGTCTCGTAGTTGTGGCAATACGCACCACGCCTGTCCAAACGCCCTGCTTGGTAGTAGTTACGCGGTGATAATCAAAGCCCAGTTAATCCCATCGTTCGATCTTCGGGGGGCTCGGGCGTTCCCCGACGCTCGCATCATCATCGTCTTCCTCATACTCATCGTCATCGTCCTTATCACGAGGGACCTCCTCAACGACGACTTCGAAGGACGGCATGTTGCCATCCGCGGCCATGACGTGGAAAAGGCGCGTCAGGTCCTGGCCGTAGAATGTCCGTAAGTCGTACGGTTCGCCAGCGAGTATGGCCTGGCGCACTTGGGCCCGCAGGTTGGGCCGTCCGCCGGCCCTGGTGTTGCTACTGTTGGGGCTGGCGGCTCTCTTGATATCGCTTGTGAAGGCGTCTGGGTTCATGCGTACGTCAATGACGGCCGCGCTCTGGAGCGATTCGCGAGTAGGCAGGCACTGAGCTATGATGCGATGCTGGCCGTGGCGTAACCAATGCACTGTGAGACGAACGGGCTGCGTAGGCATGGGAGGGTGGAAGACGGAAAAGGGCCGAGGTAGGTTGCTTCCAGGGCCATTGCTGTTTCTGTTGCCACTGTTGCCGTCGTTGGCGTTGGGGCCAGGCGGCTTAAGAGGCCGGTTGCCTCCTGGGCCTATCGGGTGGGTTTGCCCTTCCATGGGGTGTCCAGGGACACGGAAACAGGTCTTCATGAAGGGCGCCGGTGGGGGCATCACTGGGTTCATGGCATTCTGCGGACGGGGCGGTGGTGGACCGCCTGCCCTGCCCGATGGATAGGGGGGCGGAACTGGGGAAATGCCCATACCTCGAATTGCAGGTGGCGGAGCGGGAGGCCCATCCGGGCTAGGCTGTCCAGGATGTCCAGGATGTCCAGGGGGTGGAAGAGGTGGCGCTTGTCTGAACGCGAAGGAGGGCGAGGGGGAGCGCGTAGAGCGGGAGGCCCTGGCACGTGGGGCTGAAGAGTTTGCGTGGTCGGAAAACTCCCGCACCGTTGGCCTTGAACGGGAACCCCCCACGGGCTCGTGAGCGCTAGAAGCTGGCATGGCACGACTGCTGTGGCGGCCAGGGACATATTGTCTCTCTTTGGGCGCACCCATGGCATCCGGCGCATGCTTGAGCATCGTGGCCTCATCACCGGAACTTCCCCATTCGGAAAAGGCAGCAGTTGAGGACTCGGAGTGTCCGGAGATAATGGAGGCGGCATCATCGTCATCCAAGATAGGCTCTAGCAGATCTGACTTGGGATCACGAGGGCCCGAGAAACCATACATATTGATGTACTGGTTGATCGCCTCACATGATCTTGTGTGCAGAGACTCAACGGCCTTCTGGGCGTCGTCACAAGGTGTCGACGACAGAAAGAGCTTACGGCCACCTTCGTTGCATCGAACTGCGTAGGCTTTGAAGAGGTTGGTGGTCGCGTCTTTACAGGTGATGACTTGAACTATGTCATCTTTGCTTATGAGGAACTCGCAATTATCTAGAATTGCCCAATTAGAACAGCGAATTCCCCTCATGTAAGATGGAGAGAGGTAGTCTGACTGACCTATGATTTGTGTCCGACTGTCGAAGACTAGAGGCGACAACGGAGTTGGCATTTGGGGGGCCATGATGGTATGCGATACTGATAGGTATCGACGACGAGAGTAAGCCGGATTGGGGGGTTCTTGGAGGTATACTAGCATCGAGGAGAAAAGTTGGAACGGATACTATCAATTCTCATGGCCGGAGCCACCGGAGGCCAATCTTTCTTATATATTTGTATCGGGTGCACCTCGCAATAGGCTCTCTGCAGCCACGCTCCTTTGTGCGCCATACCCAATGGCAATCATTGGTTCAGCAAGGCTTGCCTGCATCTTACAAGACGCTGGCGAGGATAGCGAGGAGCCGTGGTGCACTGCTGTGACACGCGCAAGACAGTTCCAACATGCCCAGCTCGTTGGTCCATCAGTCAAACCCGAGAACGTACTTGTAGTAAGAAAACCATGGGTCAGAGGACTACGCGGTACGGTACACGGGCTTCGCCCAGATCCTGGCAGCGTCAGACAGAGCGCTCCCTGGAGTGAGACCTGGGAGCATAGAGTGGTAATCAGACCCTCCACAAAAATAGAATGCTACTACTGTAGATAGTCACACAGCCGGCATACTTCGAAGTGACATCGGATACCTGCCGCTTGCCCGTTGCAAGTCGGCAGCCAGCTATGTCTCGCTGCAAATGCCTATCTCCAAAGCGCCTCATAGTCCCTTACCGTATAGTTCCTGTAAGGCCGGATTTGAGGCAGGCAAAAGAAAATAACTTTCACATTTAACCCTATAGAATTCGACCGAGAGGAAGCTGAGAGGTGTAAACAAGACTTTGGCGTAGCCTACCTCAAAAGGGAATGACGTCGGAGCACTTTAGAAAAAGTGAGGCGAACACATTGGCATTGGGGTCGGGTGTTTGTTTAATACGACACCCCTGAGGTCCCTTACAGTCTCTCTCCACACCGCCGCAAGAATCGCCTCAGTAAGAAGAGAAGGGGTGACATATTTATACTTGTGCACTACTGCGTAGGTAACTGTATGACTGGTACCATAGGAGCGGATCTGACTTGTTGCATTTATTTTACGCCGCAATGCACATCGTGTAGAGCATGATGTGTTGCATGTGGACTTGAACAAAAGCCACGGGAAAAGGCGGGTTTTTGGATACCACTAGGAAGCCAATGGTACAGTAGAGTGAGGCCGCTAGATAGCTAGCACTATCGGCCGGACTACCTGCGGCATAACGCCACAGTATCGGCTTTGATCGAAAAAGGGCGTCCTACCGGGGTCATATTTTATATAGCTGACCTGACGATGGCGTACACTGAGCTACCATGCAGTCGAGGTATTCGATATGGGTGCACCCGATATAATTACGCACATGCTGACCACCTTTTGGGGGCGATTGTTGAGCACTACACTATATTGATGGCCAATCATCCTACACTTGTGTGCTGACACGAACCGATTATTATTTTACGATTATATGGTCTTTGATAAGGGTAGACAAAACCAACCTTCCGGTTTTCTGGTGCCTTCTACCCAACTACAGTTAAGCGTTCCAGTCTTGACTTGACCGCCTGGAATAACGCCGTTTCTCGCTCTAGAAGACTCTTGACTTGGCCGACCTTCGCGCGTCTGAGGTCTGATGGAATGCGTAGATCATCTCTCAAGGGACTTGACCGGTCCTCCTCTTCGCTACCCGGCACGTCAAGTGTTTTGGCCTGTTCTGCAAGTTCGTCTTTCAGCTCCGCAATCTTCCGGTACCTGTCCATGAATTGCTTGGCGAGATTTGGCCCATCTGTAGTGTGCCCTGATCCGTGGAGGCCAGAATCCAGAGACTTGACCTCGTTGACCCAGTCCTGCTCTTTCTGGCTAAGCTCTCGATTCATAGCCTTATTGATCGTCTTTCTCATTTTCTCCAAACGTAGGCCCAAAGCTTCCCCTTTCTCTTTAGCGTTTTGCAGCCTCCTTTCAACAGCAGCATTACTTGATTCTGGTTCTTCGCCATCTTCAACCTGATCTTCATTTGTGATGGCCTCGACTCTTGCCTTAACTTCATTTGCCTTTGCGATTTGCTGCCTTAATTCGTCTTGTAGCTTCACGCAACGCAAGAATACCTCTGAGGCGGCAACGCCGAGCCTGTGTGTCTCGTCGCTAAGAACCTGGTGGACCTCAGTTAATATCTGTAAAGTAAGTGGTGACAGTCGGATTTCTTGGTTCATAATTGTCTTGTGTCGACTGGTGCGGAGCCGGTCGATGAGCTCGGGGAGTGCTGAAATTTCATCGAATGCATGAGAAGGCTGATATACAGGGCGAGGCTCAAAAAATTCCAAGGGTCGGACTTCGGCATTCTGATTAAAGGACGGGGATATAGACGGAATAGGCACAAAATCGTCTTCGGGAGTCTCAAAAATTAAAGTAATCGGCTCGAATGAGGTGGCAGATAGCAGAAAATAACCAAGGT